AAAAAAAAAAAAAAAAAAAAAAAAAAAAACAATGAAAAAACAAAATAAAAACGTACTTTGCTTACTTCTTGGCTCGCGTGGTCCATCCACGGTGACTTTGATTGCTTTATTGTATGTAGCAATTTGTTCAGGAATCGGGTGTAATGTTTGTTGATTAACAGATGAACGTATTGTGATTACAACGGAAAATGATTTTCCACGGCCTGATCTTCCGACAAATCGAAGATCGTTGAATTTGGCAACACCGTTTTTCAAAACGGCTGTATTGTTTCGCAATTCCGGATTACATTGTTCTTCATTACCAGCGGTAATAATAACTTCTGTATTATCGGGAATTTCGTAGTCGAGTACAATCACTTTGAATGCACACGGCAGGCTTTTATTGCTGCGCCAATGTGGTGGCAATGACGAGCATAGAATCATTGGCGAACCAGTTTGAACTAAATCACCGTGACATTCTGTCAACACATTCAATAAATTTGGAAACATATCATTCAACATGTTTGATTCGTTTTGTGATTGTGGTTGCTGTTGTGACGACGATGTGGTGCTGTTTGTTGATGGCGATGATTGTGTTGCTGGCAAATGCATTTTGAATATTTTTTTTTTCCTTTTTTTTTTAAAAAAAGAGCACTAAAGTCTATTGCAAATTTTATAACAATTTACAATTTTTTTCACTTAAAATTTTCTTTGGAAAAAATAAACGCACTATTCTTTTCCGATTCAAATAATAATTTCTTTTGTTTTCTTAATTTATTTTTATTTAAATCGCTGTAAAACTTTTTCAATATTTTCAAAAAGTATTTCACGTGAAAAAATATAAACTGATTTTGAAAAAAAAATCGCAAAGTCTTCGCTCATATATATATGTTGAGATTTATTTAAAGTAAAAATTGACTTGCGTAAAAAATTCACATGTGCTTTCACCGCAAGATCTCAGATCGAACTGATTTGTAAAATTGTGCGACTTCCAATAACTAAAGTTTTCCTCACTTTTCAATTCAGCTACAAAAATTCTCGGTACACACAAGTCTCACACACACAAGCGTGCTATTTCGTTCGCTTGTTCTATCTCATAGGAGAGAAAAAAAGACCCATCGAATAACTTCATTCGAGACAGAAACTCATGTTGGAAAGTTGAGCGAGATAGGAAGAGCCAACGAACGAACGACTAAAAAAGAACGAAGCGCATACCAAAAACTCGAAAGAATACACAAAGCACATTTTTAATACACACATTTTCATTTTTATTCTCTGTTCTATTTGACTAACCAATACACACAAAGCACTCACTCTTCGTCTCCGTGTGTTTCCATCGTCTACGCACTCACACACACAATTGCCCTTTTCGCCTGAGTCTCTCTTCTCCATGCACACACCAAGCATTTACTCTCTGTGCATTTATATCCTTTTTGTACAATTTCATATGAATGTGTCGGTTCGATGCATGCATTTTGGTTAAACATTCTGTATAGATATTTTTTTTCTTTTACTCCCGACTCGGATTTTTCAGTTGATTCAGTCACAAATACGCATCGTTTTTAAAAACCAACACAAACAAGCCTGTGTGTTTGTGTGTGCACATTGTGCACAGGCAGGAAAATTTTTCAAGCCCCCTTTTTTCATTTAAAAAATGTTCACCCGACCGAAAATGTTTGAATGAGATCGCGCGCGAAAGAGAAAGAGATCGTTTGAGGGAAATATGGCATTTTGTGCAAATGTATTGGTGACATGTTTGTTCGAAGGATGCGGTGAAGTCGAACCCTCTATTTTGCGTTTTACACTTTTTTTCTGTTCGTTGTTCGCCTTTTGCTACATTCGTTTATTCCTCGTAAAAATGTGCCATGTATTTTCGTCTCTTGCACACATTTGTCACCGCTGGTTAGGCAAATAAACTAGCGAGAAAGAGACCGTCGAAAATGGAAAGTAAAAATGCAACCGAATGGAATTGAATGAACAGAAAAAAATGAAAAACGTGGCTAGCGGAGAAAAAAACGCATGTATTGGCAACCAACACACTCACATACTTCACCATCACTAATGCAAACCACTGATGTATGCGAATCCAAACAAATATAACCGCCTCTTCTCATCTCCGCAACTCTGGTTCAATCTGTTTTATTGACGACGACAAAAAAATCACATCAAATATGCAGAGCAATAGGAAAAAAAATGTGACGATTTCAAATGTGAAAAGCGTTGATTTTTATGTGGAAAACATGGAATAATCCACATGAAATCAAAAAGTGAGTAAAAAGAGGATATTTTCCTTCCACTGAAAAGTAGTTGAGATGATTATTGTAATTGGCATTAAAAGGTCTTCACGTAACTAATTTTCATTATTAAAATTCTGTATCAATTTGTTCATTTTCAACATAAATCAAGGCACAACTTTTCTATTCTACTTCGTTTTAATCGAATTTCACATTTTTCTTCATTCATTTAATAGGAAAACTGTGTTCATTTCCAATGCATTTCTTCCGTTCTACTTCAAAGTTGAAAAGAAACAAAAAACACACAAAAATGCTGGGCAATCGAACAAACCAAAGCAAAAATTGTTGTGTATTTGGAATTAGAGGCGAGAGAGCAAGAAACGAACGTGAAATGTGTTGAAAGCGCGCGCGAGGCGACAAAGAGTATGAACGGTGTGTGGATTGGTCTTTGTGTGTATTTGTGCGAGAATGAATGTAAGATAAAGACATGGAAAATTTCGTATTGGAAAAAAGGCGTGTGTAAAGCTTGGTAGTGATATTTTTTCTTCTGTTTATTTGTCGTTTCTATCGGTCGTCGGTGTGCGCTCTCCGCATATTATCTGGTTTATTTGCGTTTACATTCAAAGAGTTAATCCGTGTATCACACCGAACAGCGGTGATATACGTTTACTTCGTGTTTTGTTGTTTTATTTTCATCCATTCGTTTGTTCGTTCGGTTGAATCTATTAATATACCTTTTATCCAATACACAACTATATGCTATACACATTTGAACTAGACGATGATGACGACGACGATGACGACGATGCGCGCTGGTCGTGTATGCGAGTCTATGGCACATCCACATCAAAACCCAATATACATATAGATATATACACAAAACTCTGTGGCAAATAGAACGCAACCAAATCGGTAAGAGACATAGACATGAATTTCCCGCCCACAATTGTGGCACATTTTATGCCACAGCAATACACCGCACATTCTACCCTCAAGACGACCAAACAATCTGTTTCGATGTACAAAAAAAGATTGTAACTATGCTCGCGCTCTCTATACGTGCACAATTTTCCCGTCTTTATGAAGAACGACGCACGTCTCCTTCTTCGTCCCGTTCACCATTCGCATCATCGATGATACTATCGCGCTTTTATTCGCGAGTTATCGTTCGCTCACTCAACATGAATGCCACTTCTTCGCTTTGTTTTTTTATTCACAATTTGGCACAATTGCCACGAATATGTGCATATGACAATGCAATGATATGGCATTTCAACAAAATGGATATGCTTTTATATCTGTAATCAACGTGTTATTTAAATAGTATTTTTTTCAGTATTTTAGAACAGATTCACATAACGATTTAATTCGATATATACGTAAAATGCAATCTTGCGAAATCATTTCCAATAAACGGGAATAATATCGACTTATTGCGTTTCATAGTACTACAAATAAAATGGAGATTTTATTTTTTATGATTTTTGATTAGATTTTTTAGTATGCAATTCAATATTTTAAAAAAATTGAAACAATTAATACATAGATTTTAATATTTTCTTAAAGCAAGGAACCTAAAAGAAGTCTTTCGACTTGAGTGAATGCCATGTTCATTTTTCCAAAATTTTGCTTTAATTTGGTAGCTGACCATTTACCTGGTTAAACAAAATCGAAAGTTCAACGATTTATGCAAGTTTATTTACCGCGTTTATGTTTGCCATAAAAAGCCGTCTGCAGTACTTAAATTTCTTTAGAAATTAGTTATCGAAAAGCTAAGAAGAGAAAATAAAAATAAAAATGAAAGGGCTCTTTTGTTATAGTTTCATTGATTAAAAAATTATTCATTCAAATTTTTTTGTTGGATAAAATGACAATAGAGTTCATGCTCTTGAGAACAAAGCATCTTAATGAAATACAGTAGATTTTTTACAACTCTTTTTTTCCCGTCCAAAATATGTAAGTAAAACCATTCATAACATATGCACAGGCTGCATGTATCATATACATAGAGATTTCCCCGTAATAAAACAAGCATTACAGACAATAATTCTTTTGAATAAAAGCACGAGTTAATGGATGTCGCCAGCAACCATTTGCATATTTATTTAAGAAGAAACAATGAATATTCTTTTTTGAATGAATACCATTTACTACTGTGCCTAAAATAACATTCTTAATGAATCTATTTCAACATTTGTGCAGTTTTTCATTGATTACATGGATTCCCCATTCATTCAAAATGTCACAGTAAATAAAAACAAAGTTCACGCTTTTCGGAAACAAAAGATTTGGCTAAAGAGATTAGCTCGTATGACATCTTTTATTCATTCTTCTTTCATATGGGATCATATGCTAAGCAATTTGTATTAACTACAAAAATTATATATAACACTCTCAATGAGTTTTAAAGATCAATAGAAAAAAATTTACCTGTTCAAAGGATAATGAATGCAAAAATTATCGAAATAAAATAAGATTAAAATATTTAGATTTCTAAAGATTCAAACGAAAAAGGAAGTGAAAAAGTACTTATACCTACTCAAAAAGTATTTTATAGAATTTTTTTATTCGAATGAATTATAGTAAGCATACACAAACCGTTCAATGTATAAGCAGAATTTCTGCATAATTCAAAGTAAGTTTTAAACGATATTTTTTCGTAGTTTAATTGAAGTTCAATTCGAGTTGATTTCAAAAAACTGACACATAGTCGATGTAAATTCGGCCCGTTCAAAAAATCACATGAATTCTATGAATCGGTGCAAAGAGACATAGTAACAACCGCTCATAAAATGTACCATAAACTTTTGCCATTATATTCAATTTTTTCGTGCAATAAAATGGTAAATTTTTATGAGACCGGTCATATTTTCTTTCTTTATTTTCCGCATTTTCATGTTTGTTGTATGCTGTGTGTGTCTCTCTCTCTATCTGTGTCGGTTTATTTTATTTGATCTTCCATTCATGCCTATGTGCATTGTATGAAGCGTTCTTTTCCGGGGTTTGAATGTTGGTCGCTGTGTGCGAGCCAAGTTCTTCTTGTGAAAATTACCAAGTCTTCGGGCCCACCGCATACAAAAGTATATTCAAAACCAAAATGCGAAACCGCTGGACACAAAACAACAAAAAATGCCACAGAACATTTTTTATTCCATCGAAAATCACAAATATATGGTGTACGTAATGAGAGAAAAGCAAAGAAAGAATGCTTTTTTTCATAAGCAAGATCACAAATGAGAAAGAGAATTTTGTTCCGGAATGTTTTGCATGTATTTGCTTTTAGTTTATGAGTATGTCCTTGAGCTGTGGCTGTTAAACCATTCAAATATTGAGGGTGCACTTTTTTAAAAGCCAAAAACAACAAAAAAAACGAAATGTTTTTTTTTGTGTGTGGCTTTATCTCTTTGGATAATTCAAGAGAAAAAAAATACATACGAAACAATACACTTCAATTACCACAAGCATTTTTTAATGGTTTTCAAAACACTCGTTTTTTTCTCTGCTATAAAGGATAGCATAGACTTGAAACACTTCATTACTAA